ATCGTGATAAATATTTTTGGTCATATCGCCCTGCTCTACTCAGCAATAATAAAAGAAATGTTCTTATATTACCATATTGTAAGCGATAGTAGCTAATGTACATTAATCTACATTATTAAAACAAACCAATATCACAATATCTGAGGATGTGTACTCTGCACTTAAAGAACAGGAGGAAGAATGTAACTCCTGTTACTTATTGTGAAACGACTCTTTGAGACTTTTTTCTGCCTGATCTCTTGTGATTTGTTTCCAAGCTGGAGGGATATCAGCAGGTATTGCATTAAATGTTTCAGCAAAATCATTATTGTACTGTACCATTATGAATTTCCAGTAGTCTGATGCTTGAAGGCTCACATCTGGAGGGATATTCCAGTCTGGAAAAACTCTCTTGTAATGCTTATAAGAGTGCCATTCAATGTTTGTAGCACTGCGAGTAAAGCGTTTGTCACTGATCACGTGAGATGAGCATATGTCAGTGACAAGTTTTTCTGTTGGGTACCACTTGTACTTCCCCAGACCCTGTGGCCGATGCAGTGAAGCAAAGTGCTCAGTATGTGCTCTTCCTCCTGCATCACAGGGAGCTTTGCAGAATGGACACTGTTTGCCACAACCAACCAATTTGTTGAAAAGCTCATTCTGGGGATTCATTTTCAGGTGTTTTAGTTTCATTTCAAAGTTCAATGTTTGGAATTCTGTTCTGAGATCTTGTGCCATGTTATTCACAGACATTGTGAGCCAGTCAGCAAACTGTTCCTTGTCAGCATTATTCAGGATCATGAAAGCACCAAGAGCATCCTGGGAAATGACCAGTTTATTACCAAGTTCTTTACAAATATCTTCAACAAATGTCTTCAAATCATCACTCTTTCCTCTTTGGGCCTTGTTGATTGCATCATTTATGCTTCTGATACATGACTGAAGATGTTGATCTTCAAACTCAAACAATGACATTGTTGAGAAATGCTCCACTATTTTGTTGAGTATCCATGTCTTTACATATGTCTCATATGAGTCAATATAGCTCATATAGTTTTTAAAATCATCCTTTGAAAGTAAATCCAGTAAAACTGAATATTGGAAGGACATTCGTGTGCTGAACTGCTCACATGTCTGCATTTCACCAGTGATATCAAGTCCCAGGGATCGACTGATAAAATCTTCAACAGCAGGCTTCAAGCACTGGTTGGTGAATTCTTCTGCCTTCTTCTGACACTGGTCTCTTTCATGGAACACATCAATGAAATCATCACGAAACTTTTCCTTGTTTTTCATCAGACATCTGTAGGGATCATTTTCTTGGATAAAATCTTCATGCATCTTCTGAAACTCTCTGGCTGCAAATCCACAGATGTGCTGTTTCAGAGAAACTTCAAACTCAATCTCTGTTTTAACATCTTGTTTGTTTTGTAGTTTCTCATCAATAATGTGTAGGATCTCCTGGATGTAAGTATCAGAATAATTGTTTTTCCTTTTCACTCTTTCTCTCACAGACTGAGTGCAGTCATTGATGATGCTGTCAGCCAGTTTTTGCGCAGCCATTGTGTGATCTTGAATGCTGAATAACTTGCTGAAATTATGTTTCATTTCGTTGTAGGATCCCTCATCTGTATATTTGAAAGGCTCTTTTCCACAATCCTGTAAACTTTTTTGACTCAATAATTCACATGCATGACTCCCCCTGTGTGACAGATTGATTCTCAGGCAGTGAGATACGTTGGTGAAGACATCTGTTGTCTTTTGTTTAGAAAAAAAAAGTTTCTCCAGAGTTTCACTCCACATTTTGTGAAATTCTTTTTCCAGTTCTGTGTCTCCCATTTGGATATTCTTTTTCCGGCATTCATCAATTAGTGAACAAACTGCCTTTTCAATCTCTTTTGTATGATTCTTCTTAATTTTATCAAGTTTTATCATTCCCTCTCTAATTTCTGCTGCTGCTATGAGCTGATTACAAACACTCTTTTCCATTTCTTTTCGAAGGCTCTTTGCACTGTTTGAGAATTCCTCTTTATATCCTTCGACCAGATAAACATGACCCTCTGTTTGCTTGAAATATTTTCTCAGATTTTCTAGAAGTCTTGTCTGCCATGTAGACAGCACTGTGGAGGCTTCAATATTCAAAGATGTGAGAAATTCTCTCATGTCAGAAGATTCAGATTTTGCTGCAAATGTACCAAAATTGGAAATTTTCGTTTCTGCATTTGTTGCCCAGGTGTACATTACTTTTTTGAATTCCCACTCCCATTTGTTGAATTCTGTGCAGAGTCTCATGTATGCATCAGCTACGAGGCTGTTTCTGAAGCTGAAGATGAAATTTTCATGCTTTACTGCAGTCCACAGACTTGTCATCCATTCTTTAAAATCCAAGATATCCTTAGCCGATGACTCACAGTTTCCCAGCAGTTGGATGATGTGTTTCTTGAGCTCATATACAGCCTCACTGTAGCCTGCATTGACTGGTGCCATTGGTGGGTTTCCATTCCAGAGTCCAGGAATGTACCAGTTCCCAGTGTCTGGACTGTACTCCATCACATCAGTGAAGCTCTTGTTCTCCTCTTTCTTTTCCATTTTGGCTGCTGCCTGGGTCATCTCATTCAACTGTTCCAGGAGCAGTTTCCTGTCTCGTAAGTTCTTCTCATGGGCTGAAACATCGGACACATTCTGGTGAACAAACACACATTTTGGCTTTTTGCCCACCTCCTTCATCCTGAGAAAAGCATGCACAACTATTTGTAGGATGTCCTTCATTTCAGTTGAATTCTCCATTGCAACATTGACAATGGTGACGTCACTCAGCCCCACAACAAGTGTAGCAAGCTCATTGTCGTGCTCATAGCTGTTGTCTAGTTGCGCAAGTTCTGGTGACTTTAAGCCCTCAGTGTCAATGATCACCATGAAGTCACAGTTTAGGACTTTTTTCATGTCTTCATTGATTTTGATGAGCAACATAAAGGCACCTCGAGTACATCGACCACTGCTGACTGCAAACTGCACTCCAAACATAGTGTTAAGGAGAGTGGACTTTCCTGTGCCCTGAACTCCAAGAACTGTGACTACCAGGATCTTTCTGTTTGGAGACACCAAGTCACTGAGCTGAGAGAGAACATCACTCACCCATCTGAGAGGGATGTTGGATGCATCTCCATCTACAAGCTCAAGAGGAAATCCATCAAGCAACAACTCTGCACACAGTTTGGGCAGATGCTGCAGCTGTTGACGTGATGGATCTGTTTGTGGAAGGGACAGTGAGGCTTCATAGATCTGACCCATTTCACGGAAGAAGTGTTCAGTCCCCAGTGAGCTGTTGGAAATTTGTCTGTCAATCTCTTTAATCTCCTCTTTGTTCTCAGAGTTCTTACATTTTTCTTTATATTTCTCCCGAAGTTCAGACAGTTTTACACAAGACAGGTTATCCAGGTTCATTCGCATCCATTTCAGGAAATAAAACCTCTCTGTTCCTGGGCTTGATATTGCAATGATGAAACATGTAATAGCTGTTGACATGTTATAAGAGTTCTGATTTTTCCTCAGTTGTTTTTTCTGCATCTGAAGTTCACTTCTGTAATCTTCAATATTTCTAGACTCGATATGTTGAAGTCGAAATTCTTCCTTCTCTAAGCAGGTCAGTTCTTTCCATAATTCACCTTGACACGGAAGCTGATTTTCTTTGTATTTAAGGATGTCTTGAATTTCTGCAGTGATGGCTTCTGCATTTGTCTTTGCAGTCTGGCACTCTGGAGAGTCTTCATCAACCAGGATCCCCAGTTCATGGGCAATGTCTGCCATCTGCTCTATTGTCATCTTCATCTTTGAGTTCTTAACTACATCTGTGATTGTTTTTCTTAGATCTTTTACCAAGTCTGCATCATTTTTGTCTTTTGTCTTAATAATTATGTTGTTCTTAGTCAAACCCATTTTAGTAGCTACTTTTTTCAGAGCATCTTTATTGAAGCTTTTGCTCTCATAGTTACCCACTAAGAAGATCTGGGCCTTGTGGTGTGGGTTGGTAAGTAGACTGCACTCAGAGTCCAAATGGTCAAAGAACACAAAAACTGCAGCAGATGTCTGGCACAGAAAGGAGTATTGTGTGTCAAAAGATTCAATGTCCCCACGAAGGTTAGCTACAGCCACTGGCTGACTGAAAATATCAATGTTTGTGTTTCCACAAGGAAGATACCAAGTAATTTCAGTCAGTCCGTTGGATATTCTTCTTGGACTGTCACCACACTCCATGTTGCGATGAACAAAGGTGTCATGGTACTGCTGAGAATTGCTCAGAACCTTATTGAGAATCTCTGACTTGGACAAAGAGCACTCACCCAGTCTGACAAAAGAGATCATTGGAAGTTCAGAGAGAACAATTCTTTCTTCAATGAACCCCTTGGATTCTGACAGAGACTGAGGTCTGTACTTTTTAACAATGTCTCTCATGGCCCACAGCATGAATGTGCACTGATTTGTGTCACGGCATGGAATCAGCAAAGGGACAGAGAACTGACACATGGACATTTTGAGTGCCATTTCCTGCTGTACAAAACTATCAGAACCCAGAAAGAGAGCAGTGATTATGTCAAGGGGGTTTAGCATGTCATCTGTGTTTGGGCTCTCAAACAGATCATCAAAATCTGAGTTTGAATCCTTTGATTCATCACCAGAGTCTGAATCACACATTAACTTAGCATTTCGAGCTGTCACATTAACCATCATCATTTTCTTTAGAAAAAACCATGGAGGGTTTGAGTTACTCTTCGCAGGTTGATCAGTGATGGTCTTCTCATCAATCTCAAGTATTCTGCCAAGTGATAGCTTCTCTCCGTAGTACTGCTTAATGTCCAGATCCTCCAACAAGTTTTCCTCCTTTGTCTCTGTTAATATAAACACAGAACAGAACATATAAAACAGGGTCATTACTTTTAGTTTTACATTTGAGGGATGTACTATATGGTACTAAACAGTACCATATATAAGGCAGTGCTGCTCCTTTATTAATTACCATGGGATGTCAGATGAAAAGAGATGAAAGAGGACAAACTATGTCCTCTTTCATCTCGATTGTGGCTCAAGAGTTGGGAGTTCGCCTTGTAATCGGAAGGTTGCCGGTTCGAGCCCCGGCTTGGACAGTCTTGGTCGTTGTGTCCTTGGGC